GCTCTCGGCCCGCCACTCCCGGCCGAGCTCCCCTTCCTCCTGCACCACGGCACCATGCCGCCCCGGGCAGGGTCCAGCTCACGGGCTCCTGCACCGCAGTGCAAATGGCAGAGCCCGTCCCCGGTGCCCCTGCGGGTAAACACTGCTGCTGGGGATGGGGCCGCGGGGAGGGAGCGGGGGGTCCTGGGTCTCCCCATCCAGGTGCCAGGCGCTGCTGCCCTGCCCACCGCTCGCCCCCGCCACGCCTGCCGCCACCAGACCTGCTGCAGCTAATAAAGCTCTTTAAATGAAGCCTCTGTGGGTCTGCGGTCTCTGTCCCTGGCATGGTAAGGGGACGTGGCTTTGGCACTGTCTTGGCTGAAAAGGGGCACAGCTGGGGCTGCCCCTGGGAGCTGCTGGGCTGGGGCCTGGTGGGGATGGGGAGGGGATGGGGACCGGGACGGGGATGGGGATGGGCATCATCACCCGCAGCTGAGGGCTCAGAGCATTTAAAAGCTGCAGCTGTGGAGCTGGGTGGGAGCTCCCTGCCCTGCCTGGGAGCTGGGTGGTGCTGCCCTGTGGGTGCAGGAGACAGCCGGGTCCCAGGTGAGCGGGGGCTACTCCACACTGTGGCTGTGGGGTGCTGGGTACAGCAGGGAGGCTGGGTGGGCTGCTGGGGCTCTGGCCCCTCTCCATGCTGCCAGGTGCCAGCCCTGACCCCTGCCTGGGCTCCTGGAGCAAAGGCCTTGTCTCTGGCTGGGCAGGAGGTTGGGGTCCCCAAAAGCTGGGTGGGAGCTCCCTGCCCTGCCTGGGAGCTGGGTGGTGCTGCCGCCCTGTGGGTGCAGGATACAGCCGGGTCCCAGGCGAGCGGGGGCTGCTCCACACTGTGGCCGTGGGGTGCTGGGTACAGCAGGGAGGCTGGGTGGGCTGCTGGGGCTCTGGCCCCTCTCCATGCTGCCAGGTGCCAGCCCTGACCCCTGCCTGGGCTCCTGGAGCAAAGGCCTTGTCTCTGGCTGGGCAGGAGGTTGGGGTCCCCAAAGCAGGGGTGCTGGCTGCCCCCTGGAGCTGGGCTCTGCCCCACCCATAGGAGAGGAGCTCCCAGCATCGGCAGCGCCTGGCTTGGCCCCAGCTACCAGGAGTCCCCCGGCTGCTTTGCAGCTTATTAATTCCCAGAGCTCGGTAGCACTCACCTCTCACTTTGCTGATATGAAACGATTTGTCATGTGTTAGAGTAACAAAAGCAAAAGCCGCTGGCCTGATGTCAGCCAGCGCCCGTGGCAGAGAAAGGGCACAGTGTGGCTGGTGACTGCGGGACGCAGCAAGAGTCATGCTCTGCTTTGCCGCCTGCTGTGGGTCTCACCTGCAGAGCCACGGTCTCAGGGGAGCAAATGGCACAGGAGCCTGTAAATGCGCAGGGTACTTCGTCGGGAGAAAAATACTAAGCAGCTGCAGGGCAAGGGGGCTGTTGTTAGAAATTATGCTTTGCCACAAGCAATAACAGCCACCACGCTGTAGCTCTCCCCGGTGGAGCCATGGGGGCTTGTGCTGCACTCAGATGCTCCTTGTCAGGGAACCGTATCGCTGGGTGGGAGGAGAGGGAGCGGGAGGCATCGGCCACCGTGCAGTAAAAAACAGTCTACAGAGGAGGAAAACAAAGAGCTGGAGCTGCTTTGGGGAGGGTAAAAGGCTGCAAATCACCTCAGATGGAGAGTAAACAAGTTGCTGTGTGGTGGTGTAATTTGCAAAACCTAGAGGCAAGCTTTAAAAATAACAGGTTTTATTAGAAGAGATTAATTTTGCTGAGTTTATATGAAATCTTGGGAGCAGGAGTCGGAGAAGACCCTGCTGGATCTGTGTGCAGGACCCAGCAGCCCTGTGGCAGTGCCCGACCCCAGGGGCTGCATGTGGGGCCGTGGCCCTGACCCCGGGTGTGGGGGTCTCCTCCTGTTCCTGGCTGGGTTTGCGCATGGAGGAGGCGGCTGGGCACAGGTTTCTTGGCTCCCCATCCCTGGGGAGGGTGGTTGGAGCGGGGTTGGTGCGGGGTGAGCCGGCTGGCAGCCCTGCTCGCTGTGCCTGGGAAGGGCTGTGCCCCCTGTGCAGCCCCGCTGGCTCTGCGGAGTGGGGGGCTGCTGCCCGCTGGGGCTGGGTCTCCTGTGGGATGGTGAGGGTGCTCGACGGGCTGGAGCTGGGCACCCCTTCCACATCCCGCAGTGCTGCTCCCGGCTCGGTCCCAGACCCCAGTGGGTTTGGGGGCTGCTCAGGAGCCTGCCTGGGGAGGAGGGTGTGGGCAAGGCAGCAGAGAAGCCCCTGGGGTCGCTTGCAAACTGGCTGAGCTTAATATGCAAGTCACTGCTGGGGAGGAACCAGCCTCATGAAAATGCCATTTCCACGCAGTCACTCTTCTGGCCATTATCCTGCTTCAGACAAAAGCAATTTACTCTGACTGTAATAAAGCAGGGGTGATAACAAAGCTGAGAAGAGCCGTGACAGGTGGCTGTGTGACTGAGACAGGCCAGCCTCTCTCCGCCACCCGCCTTGAACTGCTGGCTGGGGA